CCCCCGGGGGGTGATTTCTCGCTTTCTGTCTCTATGTCTCTCTCTGTCTGGCGAGTGCACACACCCTATAGCGAAAACCTCTCCAACAACAACAAAAAAAAATCAGTGGTTGCCAGGGACTGAGGGGAACTTCATTGAATAGCCACAATACAGAGGATATTTAGAGCTGTGAACTATGTATTGTGTTACTATAATGTTAAATTCATGTGGTTATACATGTGTAAGAAGCCATAGAATTGAGAAAACTGAATTGTAACGTAAACTGTGGACTTCGTAGTAGTGATGTATTAGGAGTCTCATCAAACATAACACATTAGTGCAGAATGCTAATATAGGTGAAGTGGAGAAACTATGTGCAAGTTTCTTACAGGTTCTACTTAGTTTCTCTCAAAATCCAAGATTTCTCTAAATTATAAACTCTATTCAATTTTATGTGGGTTTTTTTGTTGTTATTTTGTTTTTAGTTTATTTTGGGGCAGCTGTAGGGGCACATGACTTTAACTGGGAACCTTTCCATGTGGGAATGTCTTGCAGAGAATTGCATTTTATCACTGCCCAACTTCGGTCCCCTACTAATTTATTTTACCTAAACATAAAAAAAAAACCCTTAAATTTACAGGCAATTCATCTCTAGTGAGAGCACCCTGATTTCAAGACAGGCATTCTTTTTTATTTTTTCCCCATAAGGTATGGGCACTTACTGAAGAGGGACAGAGTGAGAAATCACCTCTCAGTAGGGATGGCTATGCTACAGTCCCTACTCAATTCTCTTCCTGGGATTTTGGATGCATACATGTGCCTGGTGTGAATTTCAAGCTGCCAGGTCCGAGACTCGAATTGCAGTGGGAGTCTAGTGCCTTAACCAGCATGCCACGTACTGGCCCCTTCGGTCTGGTTCAGATAGGTTTATCTTCTGTTGAAATTGTAATTCCTCTTTTTTTCTTTCTTTTTTTTTTTTTTTTTTTTGTTTACTGTCAGATTACTCTCAGTTTAAGCTGCTGATGGGTTTCAAGTGGTTTGAATTGAAATCAACCTTGAGAATTTCACTTCTTTAGTTGATTTTATACTATTACATTTTCCTGATTCCCTTATGCATCTCCCTGACAGATTTTCAGGTCATTGGTGGATGTGAGAGTCCGAGTTGAGGAAAGGTTGTTTTTTTCTCAGAGTTGCCCCTGTGTCCTCTCTCTCAGCTGCAGGACTCATGCACACGTTCAATGCTCATGCAGCCACCGACATCACAGGCTTCGGAATCTTGGGCCATGCACAGAATCTGGCCAAGCAACAGAGGAATGAAGTGTCATTTGTGATTCACAACCTTCCTGTGCTCGCCAAGATGGCTGCTGTGAGCAAGGCTTGTGGAAATATGTTTGGCCTTATGCACGGGACCTGCCCGGAGACGTCAGGTACAAGGAACCCGAGCCCAAATAATGAGTTAAACTAGTAACGCTAATGGGAAGCTGGCGTGAGAAAGGGAAGCCCAGGATATGAATGTGACTCCAGTGTGTCGAGGTCGGTCCCGTTAACCTTGGCTGCCTGTTGAGCTGTGAGTCTCCTATCTCATGCAGTTGAGCAGCTTTGCATGTCCTGTATTCTTTTTGATGTAGGAATTTGGTGATGGGATGGGAGAGAGAATTAGAACTCAAATTGCATTGGAAACAGCATTTGCAATAAACTGTATTACTCATATATTACACTGAACAAGCTACTTTTTACCTGGGGGGGAGAAGTCTAAAACAATTATTTTAGGAATGAAGTAGTGTATATTTGTCCTCAAAGTGTCATTTTTCTTTTTGCACTATTTTTTTTTTTCTTTTCCCTTTACCTTGACTCCTGTTTCATTTTTTAAGTCTCTCCTATCTCTTTGTTTTTTAAATTCCTCTCCTGTCTCTTTTTATTTTTCTCTATAACTCTAATCCTCTATCCGGCAAATTGTAGCATCACTTGAGGATTTAAAAAATACATGTGGGGTGGACCAGCAGTTAACGTAATGGCTATGTTGCTGGACTCCCATGTAGTCGACCGCAGTTCACGTCCCGGACCTGGTGGCTTAAAACTCATGCCAGGCACGTGTGTGTGCGTGCCCAAGATCCTGTGAGGAGAATGGAGGAAAAGGGATTGCAGCGTGGCCATTCCCCCTGGGGGGTGATTCTCGCTTTCTGTCTGTCTGTCTGTCTCTCTCTCTCTCTCTCTCTGTTTGGCAAGCGCATGTTTTTGATAGCAAAAACCTCAAAAAAAGAAATACGTGTAAGAGCCAGCAGTAGTGTGGTGGTTGGGGTGCTGGACTCCCGCATAGCTGACCACATTCTAGTCCCAGACCTGGTGGCTTGCTTTCTTTCTTTCTCAGTCTGTCTCTGGTGAGTGTGCATGCCCTATAGCAAATTAAAATAATAATAGTAAATAAATAAATAAATAAAATTAAGTAGATCTTTAAGAAGAACAAAATATATGTGCCTAGGTCTGAACCCTACAAAACCCAGCATTAAGTGGTCCGTGAAATCACATGCCCTTTTAGTATTGTTTTAGAAACATTGGGAGGGTTTTGCCAGAAGTACTAATTTATTGGGGGAAAATTAGGTTTTAGTTCTATAACACTTTCAAGTCTTTTATAGGACCTGTATTTTCTTGAATTAAATTTTGCACTTCTAGAATAAATTAGACGGGGAGGACTGGGCATCAGTAGCTCTAAAAGCTCCCAGGAGATTGGAGCAGGCCTGGAGATGTGACCACACAATCCTGTTTGAGGATTCCATTAGACCTCTCACAGCCTTGAGGAGGTCCCTCCAAACTCCTGCTTAATAAACACAAATGAAAAAAAACATATAAAGAATTATTTTATATAACTTTTTATTTATTTATTTACTTATTTTAATTTGACCAGAGAGGGAGAAGGAGAGAGAGCAAGAGAGAGGGAAGGTAAAAAAGCAAGCTGCCATGTCTGGAACTCAAACCTCAGTCTACTATGTCCAGTGCCCTTAACCACCACGCCACCCGCTAGCTCCCAAACAAAATTTTTTTTTTTAAGAATTACTTTTATTTAATTTTAGTTGTTCATTCATTTATTTTAATTTGACCAAACACACACACACAAAGTAAGCCACCAGATACAGGACTCCAACCATGGTCAGCCATGTGGGAGTGTCCAGTGCTTTAAACACTATACCACCTGCTGGTCCTCAAATGAAAAGCTTTTTAAAGCAAGTTCCGGGGCCAGTGGCTGGCATAATGCTTATGTTGCTGGACTCCCACGTAGTTCATTGCCGTTCAAGTCCTGGACCCGCCGGCGCCTGTGCATGCATGCCCAAGAGGAGAATGGAAAAGGGATTGTGGTGTGGCCATTACCCCTGCAGCGGTGATAGCTTGCTTTCTGCCTGTCTTCCTGGCGATCACACATACCCTATAGCAAAAAAAAAAAATCTCTGTTTAAAAAAAAGCAAGTTCTAAGATTGCCAAGGTGTTTCCCTGTTGCTTCAGCATCTGGTTAGAACAGTGTCTGCCACCTAGAGAGCCCTGAAGAGTATCCGATGAGTTAGTGAATGTCACCAGCCAGTCACTCACTTTCTTTATTCAGGTATGAGAAGTTTTTATTTTAAAGAATTACTTGCTTAATTCCATTTGTTGTTGTTGTTATCATTATTATTATTTTAATTTCACCAGAGAGCGAAAGCAAGCCACCAGGTCCAGGATTCAAACTGAAATCAGCCATGTGGGAGTTCATCACCTTAACTACTATGCCACCTGCCAGCCCCCAGAATTTTTTTTTTTTTTAAGTAAAATATACCTTTTTTCTCAATAGTGTTATTTGTATTTGGGAATATATAAAATTTCCTGGCATAGCTCTACTAAAAAAAATAATAAAATAAGGTTTAAAGTATTAGGTTGTCAGAAAGGTCATGATATATTTTTCTATGTTCTTATTTATTTTTTAAATTTTATTTATATTACTCATTTGATGAGAGAGAGAGAAAGCTGCCAGGTCTGGGACTTGAACCTTGGTCGTCATTTTGGGAGTCCAGCGCCTTAACCACCACACCACCTGTTGTCCCCTCTATGTTTTTGTATGCAAAAATGCGTCATGACTTTCCCTGTGACGGTATCTTGTACTTTTTGATTTTGGAGATAATTGCAGGGTCAGGATTAGAGCATAGGTACTTTGAGGCATACACTATTCCAAGAGTCTTCAAAAAGAAAAATACTAATAAGCACTCTTGGTAAGATGAGGCATCCATGTAGAAAATGAAATGGAGAAGGAAAAGTTATTTTTTCTGTATAAATGTTTCTTTCCGTGTAGCATGACAGCTATTGCATGTGTTATTTAGACTTCAACATCTTAATCCTACACAGCATTAAATGGTTCACTATAGGTTATTTTCGGGTTAAAAATTGTTCTTTGTGGGGGCCAGAAGGTGGCATGGTGGTTAAAGCACTGGACTTCCACATGACCAACCATGATTTGAGTCCTGGACATGGTAGCTTGCTTTCTCACTTTTCTTTCTCTCTGTCTGGTCAAATTAAAAAATAATAGTCACAGGGGCCGGCAGCCGGCATTGTGGTTAAGGGCGCTGGACTTCACATGACCAATTGTGGTTCTAGTCCCAGACCTGGTGGCTTGCTTTCTCACTTTCCCTCTCTTTCTCTTGCTCTGTTCCTCTCTTGTCAAATATAAATAAATAAATAAATAAACAAACAAACAAACAAATAAATAAATAAAGTTAGATAAAATAATTTTTGAAAATGAATTAAAAAAATAATAGTAACAAATAAAACTAAGTAAATAATTCCTTAAAAAAATTCTTCTGGGACCAATAGACGGTGTAATGGTTATGTTGCTGGACTCCCATATAGTCGACCATAGTTGAGCCCCAGACCCGGTGGCTTAAAACTCACGCCAGGCTCATGAATGTCCATGCATGCCCAAAATCCCAAGAGGAGAATGGAGAAGAGATTGTGGCATGACCATCCTCCTTGGGGGATGATTTCTCGCTTTCTATCTCACTCTCAGCAAAGATCTCTCTTAAAAAAAATTCTTCCATATGAACATGATTTCTTTTTTTGAGAGGTTTTTGCTATAGAGCACATGCGCTCACTAAAACGACAGAGAGAGACAGAAAGTGAGAAATCACCCCCTAGGGGGGCATGGCCACACCGCAATCCCTTCTCCATTCTCCTGTCGGGATCTTGGGCACGCACACGCACGTGCCCAGCGTGAATTTAAGCCACCGGGTCCAGGACTCAAACCACATGGGAGTCCAGCGACATAGCCATTATGCCAACTGCTGATCCTGTGAACATGTGTTTCCTAATAGAAGTTTTCCAAGAAATTGCTTAATTCCTCTGCAGAATAAAGCAGGCTTCTTTGAGTGGGTAGAGCAGCTTGCATATAGATAGCAACAAGTTGTTGCTTGAATTTGGATCTGTGCAAAAGTTTTTTTTAGAAGGACGGAGTCAGAGAAACTGCTCTCACAGTGTCAGAACTAATAGTAATTCTTTTTTTTTTTTCTCCCTTGCCAGGAGGCCTTCTAATCTGTTTACCGCGTGAGCAAGCAGCTCGGTTCTGTGCAGAGATAAAGTCCCCCAAATATGGTGAAGGTCACCAAGCATGGATTATTGGGATTGTAGAGAAGGGCAATCGTACTGCCAGAATCATAGACAAGCCTCGGATCATCGAAGTCGCACCACAAGTGGCCACTCAAAATGTGAATCCCACACCTGGTGCCACCTCGTAATCTAGACAGAAAGAGCTGTTTGGTTTTGTTTTTAAATAGATCTATTTCCTTTATCATCACTTTGATTAAAGACTATAAACAACAACAAAATCTCATTGTGTCTACACATTTGGTGACCTTAGGTCAAATTGTGAGTGGATACAATTAATAAAATAAAATCCATTGCCTTTTCTTCCTGTTACATTAACTGAAGATGCACCTAATCTTGAGGCAGCTTCTGAGTTGAGAATTATATTGTTATCCAATACTGTTGATTCATTTTGAATCTTTAGACACTTAATCTCTTGCCGCATAGGCTCTTTTTAAAGGTGCTTTCACATAGCACAGACATTACCGATAGTAGTGTCAAATAGCAATTTGTGTCTTTTCATTTTATGTGTATTTATCATATAAGTCTGATCTTTTTTTTTTCCTAAGTGTCTTGAATAGTATTCTGAAAGACAGAATTGGTAAGTGACAAGATGGTGTCTCTGTAGTAAAAGGGTTGCATGATTCTTTCAGGTTCGATTTGTAAAGCCTCGTCTTATCCTCTAAGAGCATCTCTGACCCAGGACACTTTTCCCAATAGTGCATTCAGTTCAACAAGGCCAGTGCTTCTCTCTGCATGGAAAGCACTTTGAAGACAAAAAAAAAGAAATTATATTTCTTTTTTTTTTTTTGTAGCCTTCCTGATATTTACAGTAATATCATTGATTGTTTTCTGTATTGATAGCAAAAAAGAATACTTTTTGCAATGTAATTAGATGTTCTATAGTGCAACAACGAGGAATTGCCTTCCGAGAGGGGGCTCATGTATAATACTCATTTACAATTCAATATATAATTAACTACACAAATAATTTTTAAACATAATCAACAATAAAGACTGTTCTGTGGATGGTAGTGTTTAATACATTTTATATTTTGTATAGTAATTTCAGGCCTTTTTTCCCCCTTAAAGTCAGCAGCGACTTAGCCTGATTCTTAGCGTTATTTTGTCCCTTACGCCAGTACTTTTTTGTGCACGCTTTTTGTGATCTGTGTTAAAAATCTGCATTGCCAACATTGCAGCTCAAACCTGTTATTCAAATAAATATTTAATATTTTTAATTGCTCTTGTATAATCAGATGCCCCTTTTAGTATTATTTTAGAGGCATTGGGAGGATTTTGCCTAAAAGTACAATTTATTGGGGAAAACTAGATTTTAGTTTTATAAAACTTTTAAGTCTTTCATGGGACCTATATTTTCTTGAATTAAATTTTGTAGTTCTAGAACAAATAGGCAGTCTACAATGGTGTTATCCGTGTTACTTAAAAACAGAGGCTTCCTTATATTTTAGCTTACTAAGTAATTAGGGCAGATCCTGTCATTAAGCACAAGGGCACCGAACCCTCAGGTGTCTTGTTTTCATAGGAGAAAAAGCACCACATCTCTGCCAGTTTCTGAATGCTTCCTGCTTACAGGCACCAAAGCTGCATGTGTAAACCTATCAACTTCTCGCCAAAGGAAACCACCACAGGGAAGATGAAGCTCCCTGGAAGAGGCTTTGAACTTGGCCACACCCTGTTTGGAGAGTCACGGGGCAGCCTTTATGCACGTGTAACTGGAACTCAAGTGTAAGCATGGTGTGCAGTACAGAAGAGGCTGCTACAGAACTGAAATTAATTGGACATTTTATAGGAATTTATCAGATATTGGTCCTCAAGCTACAAACCAGTGGTCTGCAAAATAAAATGTGTTGGAAACCTCTGAGTAACATAAACATAATGTTGAACTTTTTAAAAATATTTATGTAAATAGTGATGATGAAAACTGAACTATCAGCGCAGAGTATGTTCTCAGTGCTCGTTTTCCTGGTGGCAGGCCTCTTGAGAGGAAGTGTGCTGAATGGATCTTGCCCTTGTGGAAATTTGTCTTTGTGAAGAGTCCTATTTATAAAAAAAAAAAAAAAAAAAAAGTGGCGGGTACTTAAGTTCATATGATTCATATGATCCCCAGAGGTAGATTTTGTCTTTAAAGTGGTGTTTCTCAGAGAGTAGTCCAAATTCACATTTGAATCACTTGGGGACGTTTGTCAAAGGCACATTCCTCCCCTTCCCCCAAGACCCCTCCAGACCTGCAGAATCAGAATTCTGGTGCATGGGACAAGGGCATAATCCAGCTTTTAAATAAGGACCCTTCAGGGCTGTCTGTGCCCAGGAAAGTTTGAGAACCTCTGATTTCAAAGGAATTGCAAAGGGGAAGAAAAGAAGTGGACTTGATTTCACAATATACTTTTCTAAGTTTGTTTGTTTGTTTTAGATTTGCTGTAGGATGTATACACTTGCTAGAGAGAACGGGAAAGTGATGTACCCCCAGTGAGGATGGCCACGCTGCAATCTCTTCTCCATTCTCCCCCTGGGACTTGAACACACGAGTGCACACACCGGGCATGTTGTGTTTCATGTAGCTGGATCTGGGATTCAAACTATAGTTGACTACGTGAGATTCAGCAGCCTTACCACCATGCCACCAGCTGGTCTAGAAGTTTTTTTGTTGTTTTTGTTTTTATTGTATGATAGTGTGTGTGCATGCATGTGAGAATAGGAAAAGAGGAACAGAGTCTCTGGAGAGGTTGGTCATGCCGTGATTCCCTTCTAGTCCTCCAGTCCTCCAGCCATTGGATCCCAGGCACTAGCACACATGCCCGGGTTTCTGGCTGACCTGGCCAGGAATTTCAACAACGATCACCATGAGGGAATCTGGCTTCTCTTGAGTAGTGTGTTCTGTTGTGCCACTGAGCTGGTCCAATTTAAAATCAACTATTCTTTGTCTTTCCCATGTTATGCCCCCACGAGGGGAAAAACAAAAGGCAAATATCTTATAAAGAATCAGGTGATAGTTATTGAATATTTGATTTCTTGGCAAGATAATACAGAACATTTATAAATAGACAGTTATTTTACTTCCTGGTAGCATTTCAAAACTTCACACTGAAATATACTTATCTTGGTATACAGATAGAGTTTTTGTGAGTCCCATGATGTAGTTGCATATACCCTACAGTCTAGAATCCAATAGAATTAGTGAATATGGCCTGAAAAGATGGCCTTCTTGGGTCAGTATATCCTTTAGGGGCATCAGGAGTTATTTGTGAAGGAAGGTCAAAGCTTAGCAGGTTATTTGCAGAGGCTAAGTTGAAGCATTTGCTGTGGTTAAATACAAGACACAATACTGTTTAGGCAATATGATGCTTTCCCTTTTTTATTTTTTTAAACAGTTATTTTGTTTACTTACTATTTCACATGAGTTTTTGCCAGAGAAAGAGGTAGAGAGAGGATGAGGGAGCAAGCTGCCAGGTCAGGATTCAAACTGGTCAGCCATGTGGTAATTCCAACACCTTAACCAGCACGCCACCTGCTGGCCCCTCATTCTTTTTTTTGCTATAGGGTGCGTGCGCTCGCCAGACAGACAGAGACAGAGAGATAGAAAGCGAGAAATCACCCCCAAGAGGGGATGGCCACGCCGCAATCCCTTCTCCATTATCCTCTCAGGATCTTGGGCATGCACCCACACGTGCCCAGCGTGACTAAGCCACCGGGCCCGGGACTCAAACCACAGTCGACTATGTGAGAATCCAGTGACATAGCTGTTACACTAACTGCTGGTCCCACATTCATTTATTTTTAATTTGATCAGAGAAGAGAGAGAAAGTGAGGAAGCAAGCTACCCGGGTTCAGGATTCAAACCGTGGTTAGCCATGTGGGGGAGTATCCAGTGCCTTAACCACCACACCACCTGCTGGTCCCTGACTTTTTATTTTCCCCCCAAGGTTTTTCCTATAGGGTGTGTACACTCTGGAGAGAGAGAGGGGGAAAGTGAGAAATCACCACCCCTCCTTAGGGGGATGGCCACAGCTCAGTCTTGTCTATGTTCTCTGGGTATTTTGTCTCTGGCAAGTGCACTCAAAAACTCAAAAAATCTGAGCTCTAAAACCTAATTTTATTTTGTAAAGACCAGAATAGCTACACTATACTATTTTTCTATTTTTTAAAAGAATTTCTCATTTTATTGTTTAATTTGACCAGAGGGACAGCACGAGAGAGGCAAAGTGAGAAAGTAAGTCACTAGCTCCAGGCCTCAGACCACAGCCATGTGGGAGTCCAGTGCCTAACCACCATGACCTCCTGGCCCCAATTTTTTTTTTCTATTTTAGAAGTAATCGAGCATGCATAGACATTTGTTGTTTCAGATAATTGGGGTGTGTTTATGTATGAATGCGTTTATCTCTTTAGGCTGCTCGTTTCCATACTCAGTCCACTTTTTCTCTTTAGGTTAGACAGTGGCTACATAGCATAATTTACTTTCAGCAATTATTCGTACCTTAAGAATCCCTGGATGAACGTGCAGTCAAATCAGCCAGGGACCACAATGGAAATTAACAGAGTCCTGCTTAAAGTGATGTATGGGGATATAATTCTGCCTATGCTTAAATCTCTACCTTGAGAGAGGATGGGAGTTGGATGTATTAGCCAAGGCCTTCATCAGGTGAAACAGTTGATTTGAGGGGAGGCTGCTAGGCATCTAGACATGTTCAAGAATTGCCAGAGTCTAAGCTTGCTATGGGTGCATATGCTCTGGTGAGTGCATGGTAAATAGGTCTTGGAGCTATTCTCTACAGTGTTTCCTAGATCTCTAGCTCTTACATGTCATGCCCCAATTCTGTGAATACGCAGTTAATGTTTTCAGTGATTTCAGTTGCCCTTCCTAGATCCTGATGCCTTTTGAAAAAGCTTTTGGGGTCAGGAGATGGTGTAGTGGTTACGTTGCTGGTTAGCGGTTACTCAAACCACAGTCCCACATGGCCGACTGTGGCCGACTGTGGTCTGAGTTCTCCTGGGAGTGACTTGAAAATCTCACCAGGCATGTTTGCATGTGTGCCCAAGATCCTGGGAGGAGAATGGAGAAGGGATTGTGGTGTGGCCATCCTCCCTTGGGGCGGGGGGGTGGTGTTTCTCGCTTTATCCCTCACTGTCTCTGTCTTGTCCTCCAGGGAGTGCACACACCCTAAAAATAAAAGAATTGGTGTTTAGAATGTCCTGTTTTAGTCCATTGTGAAAAATTAAGGAATTTGTAGTAGTTGAACTCCCCCCCCTTTTTAGTAATAAAAAGCTAGATTTTATTTCTCATACATTAAGAATTAATACAAAGAGGAATCATAAACACATACCTCTAAATAATTTCTCATTTTTTTCTTTTTTTTAAAGAATTATTTTAACCTTATTTTTTATTATTATTTTCCAGTTTGACCAGACCGCGAGAGGGAAAGTGAGAAAGGAAACCACCAGGTCTGGGACTTGAACCTTGGTTGGCCATGTGGGAGTCCAGCACCCTTAACCACCATGCTACCTGCCAGTCCCCAGTTTCTCAATAAAGTTAACCTGAATGATTTTGAAAGTTATGAAGATGAAGTTAAGCAGCCACAGTTCACCTTATGCCAGTCAAATTGGTCTAGTAATTTTACATTAATGAGACAGAGACAGAGCACCACAACAAGATCTGGTCCCCACAGTTGATTCCCCAGCCTCAGCTAGTCTGCATTGTGGGCATACACCTGCCCAGTGTACTTGGGGAGGTCTCTAGATGCAGCCTTCTCGTGGTATTTCTGGAAGACTTGGGTTTTACTTCTGGGTCCCACTTAAGTTTGGTAGCACTAAGTACAGGTGCGACTTTTTAAATGTATTTTTTAAGATTTTTGCCATAAGGCACATGTGCTTGTCAGAGAGAAGCTTTGAGAGAAAGGGAAAGTGAGAAATCACCCCCAAGAAGGGATAGCCACATCACAATCCCTTTTCCGTTTTCTTCTCATGGTTTTGGGCATGCATGCACTTGTGCCTGGCATGATTTTTAAGCTGCCAACCATGGTTGGCCACGTGAGAATCCAGCACCTTAACCACCACACCACTTGCTGTCCCCTGGGAGAAACTTTACTCTTTTTTTTTTTTTTTAAGAGAGAGATATTTTTGCTATACGGTGTGTGTGCCTGCTGGAGAGACAGACAGAACGCAAGAAATCAGCCCTAGTGGGGATGGCTACATCTCATCCTTTCTCATCCATTCTTCTCTTGGTGTCTTGGGCAAGCCTGCACATACATCCAGCATGAGTTTTAAGCCGCAGGGAGGGTCCAGGACTCGAACTGCGGTTGACTATGTGGGAGTCCAGTGACATAACCATTATGCCATCAGCTGGTCCCTTAACTTTTTATTTTGAAAAACTTTAAAACATACTGAAAAGTTTAAAATAAGTGGTTACTCTTAGACATTAATTTGCTGACAAGTTCCATAGTGCCATGGTTGAGGGAGCTGGATCCCACATGGTTAACTGCATTCTTTTTATTTATTTTAAACATTTGATTGCTGTACTTCATTTGGCTTGTAAAGAGAAGTTACTCAACATGAAATACCCCTCAGACTAGTCCACTTGAGAATACTATACATATTATCAACAGGCAATAAACCATTTTTGTGTCCCACAAATGTCTTTTGCCTCTATTTTTTTCTCCCTAATTTCCTTCTCTGTACTTTGCCTCTATTTTTTTTCTCCCTAATTTCCTTCTCTGTACTTTTCCCTTCTCCAGCCCTCCCTCCACACTGTCTCCACTGTCCATAACTATTTTCACTGCTTTTATGTCATCCTATCTTTTAATCTCTAGAGTGTGGAGAATCAGTATAAAGTGGATACATGCAATATCTCTCTCATCGCCTGGCTTG